CTGGGAGAACGTTGCATCTGTGTTACAGGTAAACGTGAACACCTCTCTCAGTTAGATTGGAAAATTGGAACTGTATGAGCCGAAGAGTACTGCTACCGTGACGCGTCTAAGCTCGCTGACAGAGAGTCACGTTGATTGCCTGGTTGAATGGGTTGTATCGGAGCCAACGGTAACGTTAGAAACTCTTCGTTAGGGTTAGGGTTACGGTGAGTTCCAGATAGAGGTAAGCGTCAGCACCATTGCTCGCTACCTAGACGGTCGGCTCATGACAAAGAAGAGGTTACATTCAATACCGGAATATATGAATGCCATAGAGAACAAGAGGCTAAGGAAGTTTTACTTCCTGACACTGATGAGGTTGGAGAGTGAAGGACGGCGAGCAGTATGGATGGATGAGACAAACTTCAATCTGTTATGCGCGCACACAAGGGGTCGATCGGCACGCGCCACCCGTGCAGCGTGTACGGTGGCCAACAGTCGGGGACAAAAATGTTCACCTAATAAGGGCAATGACTGCGGACGGATTGCTGGGGTATTCCGTTCTAAGAGGCAGTTACAATAAGGAAAGATGTGCGCGCTGGTTGCGGCAGATGCTTGATACAGATGGTAGACATTTCTCTGACAGCTGTGTTCTTGTTTGTGATGACGCCCCATGTCACACTAATCTGGAGCGTATTTTTTTAAGAGGAAGCTTACACCTCGGGAACACTGCTACGACTCGCACCGTATTCTCCACAACTGAACCCCATTGAAGGGATTTGGAGCATCATTAACGCCTACGTTAAACAAGGCATGAGGATAAGATATAGCAAAATGCTCCAAGGAGATGCAACTGGTGTTCTGAGCAAGATGGAGAGGAGGATGAAGTTTTGGAGCAGGTTGTTGCGGAAGCACGCGCTTGCGTGACACTGAGCCACTGTCAACAAATGGTGCATCATGTAAGGTAAAAGTATGCCGCCGTTTTACGCCTACTTGATCTGTAAATACTTCAACATCACTGATAAATTGCACTGTAACCGTCACTGCTGGTTTTATTGTTCAACTATTTGTTGGCCCAACCTAAGTGAAGGTGCACAGTGACACTCAGTTGCTATTGCTTCCAGTCCTGCTTGGTTACGTCGGACATGAAGATACTCCGAGTAAATTACGATGACAGCTGTTTCCTGCCGCGTTAGTAACAGGTTGTGATCCAGTGGAATCAGCAGTTGTGATCACATATATAGGTTGTGTAGAAAGTCAGTGCGGTGGCTACATAGATAGACTGACGACAAATGACCGCGAATAGTGCAATGAACAATGAACAATGAACAATGATTTATAACGGGTAAAAAAGCATATGCTTGACAGGTCCCGTAGGGTGGTTGGAGCAATAGATAAAATGGAAGGATAATCGAACAAGTAAATCGTTTTTTAAGCCTCTACAGGTTTCAACGCACCACTTCATAATGATAGTTTGAAGTATGGACTGGATGTCTGCACCCAAAGTAGAGCTGTTATATTACAGCAAATGTGGGAAAAAGAAATCAAAGGAACGGATAACGCTCTCTTGTGTGTTGCTTCCGTTGAGAGATGTGGTACGTTACTCCAGTTTGTATACATCCATGTCGCTCATTGGGACACTTCTGTATGTAACATCACCGCCACTTTACGGGCAGGGTCAGTAACCTCATGGTTTGGGTCTCGTTATTTCGTCCTCCGAATAGGACGTGCTATGCCAAATAATGCAAGTTGGAAAGTGTGTCATCTAGGCGTTTTTTAAATAGTGCCAATGTGGGGGCAAGGACGACGTGAGTGGGGAGCGCATTCCAAGCACGGGACACACGGAGTGAGAAAGAGTTTCGTCGACAATCAAGTCGGCTGTAGTGTGTAGCCAGTTTGAGCTGATGACCTCTCAGGTTGGTATTTTGGCTCAGCTGCAAGAGACTGCGACATGGGTGATTTGGATTCATCAGTATTAAGTAGACCATGATGAGGTCTCCTCGGTGACGACGATATTCACCACTGTACAATCCCAGAGACTGCAGTCTGCGTTGGTGGGGGATGTGAAACAGGCCTCTGACGAGCTTCGTTGCTCTACGCTGTGGAGCTTCAAGTGCACTGATGTCGCGCTTGCGCCAGGGACGCCAGGCCTGGATCGCATACTCCACGTGGGGTCTCACGTAAGCGCTCAGCATTTGCGGAAATACAGATGGCTCGAAATTTCCGAAAGCCCTCCGTAAGAGTCCGAGATGTTGACTGGCCCTTTCCGATGCCTTTTCAGCTTGTCTGGAGCAGCCAAGGTCGTCCTGCACGATCACTCCGAGGTCGCATTCCTGGGAAGCATGTTGCAACGGCTGGTCCCCGAGTAAGTATTCATGGATGAGCTGGTGGCGTAAGCTCACGACTTTGCACTTGGCGACATTGAAGTGGAGCATGTTTTCGGATGACCAAGCGTACGCCCTGTCCAGATCACTCTGCAGTGTTGTGTGATCGTCCTCTGTCCGGATGTTATGCCAACTTTTGACATCATCTGCAAACAGCAAGAAGTTCAACTGTAGTACACTGGCAAGGTCGTTAATGAATGTTAAAAATAAACGTGGCCCCAGTACTGACCCTTGTGGCACACCGCACTGGACGTCAATTGGGTCGGACATGGAGCTGCGGACTCTCACATTCAGCTGACGTTGAGTGAGAAAGTTGGCGATCCAACCAAACACAGGGTCACCGATTCCGTAGCCTCGAAGCTTGTGTAGGAGGATGCGGTGGTCCAAACGATCGAACGCCTTCGAGAAGTCCAGGTAGACAACGTCGACTCCAAATCTAGCATCAGCTGACTCCGTCCAGCTTGCTCGGGCCAGCAGCAAGTTTGTAGTGCAGGATCGATTTCGGCGGAATCCGTGTTGCTGTGGCACTATGATATTGTTGTTCTCCAGATATCCCATCAGCGCCTCCGCAATTATACGTTCCATTACTTTGGATAAGACTGGGAGGAGAGTGATTGGACGGTAGTTCGACGGCTCCGCACGATTACCGCTTTTGTAAATGGGAGTGACTAGCCCATGTTTCCACATTGTGGGAATCAGCATTTCGTCAAGACAACGTTGAAAGAACCGAGCTAATGGTTCGGCAATGTTTAGGGCCGCTGCCTTCAACGCCTTCGGTTTAATATCGTCTACGCCTGGCGAGCTATGCACACGCAACGACATTAGCGTTTTCAACAAGTGGAATCCCGGAGTGAGTACATTCAGTCCATCTGTGCATTCTGTAATTAAGATGTGTGTGCATCAGCCTGAGCGTTACCTGTCACACCTTAACGTTGTCGCCCTCGTAAACATGACCTCCTACATTCCGGTTGCACTTATGTCCGTGAAGTGTTCGTCCCTCGCCTGAATGGACGCTTGATTCCCAATCAAACCCGAATTCGCTGGCCCCCCACAGGACAGAAAGAAGACCGGATCGGACGAGCAGAGCAACAGGAATGAATTAACAAATCACACCGTTCATTATAAAGGTAAAATGGAAAGTTCGTGAATAGTATATTTAAAGCGACCGTGGAAAGCTCTGGAAATGTTAACTTACAGCCAATAAAGGAACTTCAACCTAGCGTTCATTGGCCGCTTCTCCTGGTTGGCTCTCTGTTTGCCCCAATCAGGGCGGATGAGTTTGGATAGCCGGCCGAGGCGATGGGTCCTGGCTTGTTCGACTCGTGTATTCCTTCCTAACAGTCCGCATAGCCCATACGCCGTCATCCGGTCACCGTTATAGCATGGTACTTTAGGATGGCGCGTGACTTATGTGCCTACTCAAACAAGTGAGGCAGAAGTGTCGGTACAAACACTCATAAGGCGCAAGCTGTGAGGTATTAGAGGATTTCCCTCCGTAGGCGCAACCGTCCTGTGGATGGCCACAGTGACAGGCAAATCCGAAACCAGATGCCGCCAAGCATATTTAGATATAAATATGTTTATATATATAGTGATTCCTTCAACAAACTTTAGCTTTCAATTTATTTAGCCAGTTGACTTTGCAACATTTACGGAAGCGGCGGAATTATTTCCTTTAAGACCAGTTGATATTCAAAAATCCCACCTCGATATATTTAAATATTTGAAGTTGTTAGCAATAAGGCCTAACTGCAGACAAGCCTCACCTGACTGGCAATCGGTCGCAATCCAGCGAACTGGTTCTCTTAACCCGTCTTTTCACATGTTTTGTTTACGCAGTCTTCACCTAGTGTAGACTGTGTTTGTTTGTCACGCACACCCAGCTTACAGCTTTCGCTCCTCCCTCCTTATCTCACTAATCTGAACCCGAATGCCCATACTTGGATAATTTAGCTGGTGCCATTTACGTATTATTATATTATGGTGCCGATTTAGACCGAATTCACGCTTGGGACTTAATTGTAACCCTGACTACAGGTTGCACTTACGGACTACGCATGCATGCACACACTATGGTACCCATAACCTTAGCATAGATTCGAACGTACTTTTAGACCTCTGGAGTTCAGGTTACACAGAACTTTTTTATTTTCTTACTTGGGTGATTTACAGACAGGGTACAAATAGTGTAGCTGTCAGGTTAGATACTGAAAGCAAACTATTGGGCAAAACTATGGTAAGCGGCACCATTTTCCAACATGTTCTGAGCCTGAGGCCGAGGGATTCACATTCTGGTGTCCAATCTTCGCTCGGTTGGTTAGACATAAAGTGAGGAGATAGAAAGATGAGCTAGTAGAATATATGTTTATGCACTAAGGTAAAATCACATCATTATTCACACACGCTGAATCCGTTATTAAGCTTACCTAACGGTTTCCCAGGTTTTCGGTAAGGCGTCGTGGCTTTCTGTCTGCGCATGTGCAGCTGATCAGAACTACATGAGCGAAGTGAATCTTGCCGGACCTCTCCGACTCTGTGAGCGCAAAGTTTCTTTCTTCTATTTTCCTACAAAGGTCTAAGGGTACGCCTAACTTCCTCAAACAGTCTTGCAGCCGGGGTCTATTTATCGAAGTAAAAATGGCAAGAAATTACAATCTGATGCCAGATGAAGCCGACTACGAGGTGTGCCACAACTCGATATTGTTCAGACGGTATCTGCGAGAAAATTTACCTAACATCCGGGTTGTGGATCAATTCGAGGAGCGAATCTCGCTACAAGTGGATACCAGTACAATGGCGTTGTTTGAAACGATTCTGAAGATGCTGCTGCAAGGTAAATCCCGTGCAACTGCATGTGGCAACGATTGTATATATTTCAGGTACAAGTACTATATCTCGATGAGAGAGAGTTTGTAGTTGGTGACATTACCAACCTCATGATTGCGCTTTTTGTTGTATAGCTTGCAGTCGTCATGACATGAGTATAGATATCACTGACACGTTTACTACCCATACAGTAACAGTTAGGAGGTAACCGCGAATTTGTTATAGGTGCGATCTGCTTTGGTTCGCATCCACAATTCAGCATAATCTCCGAAGCTATTGGGCCTCACCTGTTTTTCATTACAAGTTTGCTCATCGGTAATGTTTCACTCTTTCTTATTTGATCCTGTTATGCAAAGTTCCCTCTGGATTCCAATCCACGTGCTTCTTGCTACTCGTTCATCGCACCGGTTAACATGTAACTATCTACGATCGGTAGACAACATATTGGATTCTGCTCCACCAATATACATTCGTGTGGTCACATTCGTCAGCTTATAAAAATTCTGTAACCAGTCCTGGTATGATAAAAGGTGACTCTCCGGTTTTAACCTAGGTTAGTGGCCTATATAGTTAAGCTATAACTGGACATATTGGCTGGTTGGTTACAGGTTCGCCATCTGTACATGTGGGAAGCATTACGTGACTGTTGCTTAAAAAGTGGGGGAGCACAAGGCAGCCACTAGTATCGTGTATGCCCTCTGCCCAGAGCCCGCAACGTTCAGCATCTCGCAATTTACTCACCTTTGGAACTGTACAAAGAAATCCGCTTAATCTGGGCTTCGATTGCTAAATCAAAACATCCGATACCTACACAGGCATTTTTGCATGTAAAATAGCTTATCTAAGATTCCCACTCTTGCCGCCATCCGCACCTTTTGTCTCCGGGATATTGTTTTGGTGATTTGTTAGTGCTGGTTGCGGGCATACAAGCAAGTTAATTAACCATCAAGCCTGACCATTAAGCACCAACTTCGGCAGCACAATTTGTTGAACTCAGGACACTCGTTCATTCGGCCTAGTAGACGAGAGATGCTTCTTCGGCGTTCATATACAAACGAACCAAATAACCGCTTCTTACTGTCCCTCAACCAGAGAACAGTCGAGCGAAATCCTTACCGAGTGCAGCGGCGTGAATCTTAACCACTACGCTGACCATAAAACTCTTATCATCAATCATATTAACCGAAGCTTTGAGACAAACACACGTTCCACTATTGAATCAACAGCCAACGAATGAGAAGACCGGTCTTTAGCGAAAGTGCTTTCATGGAGTCAGCCAAAGACAAACAAATTCTACACCTTGCTTCTATTGCAGCTTACCCATTACTGTGAGGTAGAAATTATAGACGGATATAAGTGTCGGCGCAAACAGGTGTACTGTCAAGTTGTAATAGTGCATACTGCATCTGCGCGAAAGGAACTCCAGTAGGGCTCCGCGTGAAGATTCAACTCGTGACGTGTTAGACGTGCGCACAGAGTCATAGACACAGCTAGCGAGGCTTGTAGGGTTATATGAGTTCACCCTAACATTTGCCATCCTATTCAGTAGCGTAACTAGTGCACCATGGGGATAAGACGACATGGGCGATACGCTCTCCAGTATGCACTATTAAGGCTCAGGTACATACTGGACGATGTTCGTGGTGTCACTGAATCCAGTTTACGACAACCGACTTCTGGAACTCTCTGGCAAAGAGCATCTCTACAATCGAGAAACCCGAAGTCAGGGGTGTCGCATATTCACCCAGTGAAAAGGCATCCATGTCATGCAGTATTCCACTGAAAGTATTCAGAGAGAAGAAACAATGTCGAAGAGAAACAGGACACTGATCCCTGTCGAGTTACGCAAGTCAAGAAAAGTGGGCAAGGAGCATAGAGTCATTTATTAGGATTACGCATGGATATTTATAGAGAATACACACTTTTGGCGAGAGTCAGTTCCACGGGCTCATCCTTGTTATTTGCATTCAGTCGCTGGCTTGCTTTCCATTGGTTTACGCTTGCTCGCCACGTTCATTCTGTCTAAAAGTACCTCGAGCCGCGTTGCTGAGTTTCTGCGTGGATTGTACGATTAACTTGGTCAATCCTCCATCTGGTTACACGCTACTCTCGTTGGTCCGGTGCCACATCAAACCTTGGCTCAAGTACCTACAGTCTATTCGTGAGCTGGAAAACCAATCCGCTTTCCACGTGTATGCGCTCTTTCTCCAGACCGAATTAGTTCTGTGCATTTCGGACCAGCTGGCGCCTGATTGGTCACACGCACATTCAGCAGATGTTTACTCAGTTGGTTAGCTGCCTACCCAGAGCACTACCTGGGTGCGCACCGATCACTTGCTGCCCGGCTGATCAATCCGCTTCTGATGACATGTTCACTTTCTTCCAGATTAAGTTGCAGCTGTTTGGCGCTCCGCGAAATCCTATGTGGCGTTCGATTGAACATTTACCTATCGGTATCATAGCGTTTCCAGTCACCACCGGTTTCGGATATCATCTTAAACCCAAGGATCTCCTCATTGCTGCTGAAAACTGTCGATGGACTGCCGCTTGTTAGACTAACCACTGTGTTCAATACGATATGAGTAACCACGCAGGTGCTTTCCTAGTTACGTTCATTAAATACTTGAATTTTCCGCGATCGAACTTGAAAATTCCGCGAAATTTCTGCGGAGCAAATATTACATTCTGCGAATTCACCTCGAAAAAGAAAATAAAGAGAAATCAAATCACCTACATACATTACATACATGTCAGGCATGTTTCAATACATAGGAATTACGATAAAGCCTAAGAAGGTCTTCGTGCTACTGTCTGGAAGGTTGTCACACTTGTCAGACATGACAGTTTCGTAGGCCCTTAAGCTCCGTGCAGCGTCTACTGAAGTCACGGGGATGCATAGATAGTCGTTCGGGGAATGCCATCCTTGTGGAGGTAACTGCGAATAACTCTAGGTTGCCTTACAGGCGAGATGAATAAGCAGTCGCGGACAATCAGCGGCAGTGTCTCAAAGCGCTGTGTCAAAACCAATGTGACCGGCTATAGGGTCACGGACAACTCACTCCTGTAAGTGGAGGTGAATATCAAACGGAGGGCGGATGACCAACCTCACTCGCAACCGGCTTCCCTGTGGACTACTTCCGAGCACTAAGGAGGCGAATGAGCCAGCTGGCTGTAAACAGCCTTCGTGAATCACCCTGCTGCCTTGTGGGGCAGGTCTTTAGACCAAAGGCTCGGGGTAGGGTGCCTTAAGCCAACCATCTTCCATGGCCTGGACAATTGGGAAGCTCGACGCCCACACAACACATGGGACGTTCCATCCATACAGCTGACGCTATCATCCTCCTTTTTGTTACTGTTCCTCATGTGTTGTGGCACTCTGCCAAATGTTTATTAGGCAACTGTTATATATATATATATATATATATATATATATATATATATATATATAACGACTGGTGATATCTGCCATTTGTGGAGTTTTTTCATGCATCCCGCACCAAAAGGCCAGCATGTCATTACATTTATCTGCTTGACGTTCTTCCACCACTTTCGATGGACTAACCATTCAGCTGTCAGACATGGGGAGCTAACCAGACCTGGAACAATGGCATAGTTGCATGGATCACTGGGCAAGGTAATACGCTGGTTGCAGTTGAGCGCACAAATGGCTTTCAAAAATGGCCAGCTTGCTTGGGATGTCAGCAACTCCTAGGCTTTTATGGTAGCTTGGGATAAGCAGAGTTACATGTCAATTTGGATTTTGCTGGATGCATCCAAGGTGATCCTGTCTACCTGCAAATGTTGCAGCCAGATTTCTACAGCGGCAGTTTTCAGCGACATGGATGGGTCAGAGAGGTCGTTGTAAATCTCATTGGTTACCGAAGACTGACTCGGCCGCTTTCTGGTGATGGGTGATGTTTTTCCCGATAGTCATAATGCAACGCAGCTGCCATCTCAAAGCTCTGTGTTGTTTCATTGGTTAGCACATCCACCAGTTCACAAACACCAGCTGAGTCTCCAAACTCGTGGTGTACAGCTTGTAACATGGCTGGGTAAGGATGGAAATATTTGCTGTGATGTACTCGGCCTCCAATTAGGAGTTCCAGCGTGTGATCATCGGTGCAAGTGGGCCGGTTGGGTTATCCACGCCCTCCTGAGTTAGATACTCCACATAGGCACGCCACGTTTCTTCCGAAAGACGAAAAGCACTTCTCATTTTGCAACGAATTCATCTATTTCCGGAGAGAATTTGAGAATAGTCTCTCCAGACAAGTTGATTCAATGCGCAACACATCCGATGGGAACTGAATCCTTACAAACAGCCTTTATGACATCTCTCTAGCATGCTGTCAAATATCTAGCGCCATCGGGCACGAAAGTCGTCACACGACTGAACTCTATATCCATAATTTTCGAGCTACGCAGTATGGGTTCTGCAACTGTGTCAGAACTGATTCCCTCCATAATGACCTTCTCGACGAAATATGCTCGCAGACTGTCCTTGTTGGACTTCAATGTTGCGCATAACAGAATGTGTACTTCCACCTGCTCGCAATCATCAGTTGTTTCGTCTGTTATAACACTGACAAATGCACCACGGAACTTCTCTTTCAATGACTGATTCTGTTTCCCCTAGTGTGGGGGAATTTTCAGACGTGGCGCACCAGATCTGGCAATAGTTCCACAACTGCGGGTTATAGGCCATCTCTAGAGGAATATTCGCAGATATCATAGCAAGCAGAAAGTCAGATACCATCGTGTTGTGGGCTTCCTGGGCAGAATTAGCAACGGCGATGGAAATAACGATGCTTGCTTCTCATGCTTTCTTTGGAGCTGGTGCCCGCTTGGCAACAAGTGTGTTTATGCCTCCTTGTAAGCTCTCTGCTGTAGAGGCTTCTGGCTGCTAATGTGAGTCAACACGGTGGCTTTTCGAAATGGATCCACAGTCACTTCACAGGATAAACAAAACAGTAGTAGTTTATCTGCGTTATCGAGGTAGTACTCTTT